AACATGGTCAAAAGAGTGAATGCAGGCAGAACTGAAATGCATATCGTTCCGAGTTTTGGTTGTTCTGTGATTTGGTGAGACCGTGACATGTCGAACGTGACTTGTTGCTCCGGTGCCGCACAAAAAGAAAAAAAGGAGGTGAATTTCCAACAAAATTCAAGAGCGAAACATGCATAAATTCTCCAATCTCGAAAAAGATTTTTATTTTTAAAATTTAAAGGTTTTTACAAATTAAAATTTTTTAAAAGAAAATTTAAAAATATGTAAATCTTTAGAGATTTTGAATTTTAATAAATAGTAATTAGACGACGTGTTGTAGAATTATGCATTCGACGTGATTGATTAATTATAGTCGACGTGTTAATTTTTACTAATTAAGAATGTACATAGGATACACAGGCATAGAGAATTTTAAAATTTAGAGAAAACCCCCATTTTAAAACCTGTTAATTTTTTTACATGTTTATTTAATTTACTCAACTTCTCCTTGTGCCTATTTGATAAAAAATCTAAGAACCAGTTAGAGTTAGTATAGCAAACTTGATTTGTAGAGTTTACTGTAGTAGATTTGGCTTTAGTGTTTCGAAACAAAAAATTCAAAAGGGAATAGAAAATATATGTAAAATACTTTTAAAAACCGATATAACAAATCCTTACAAAAAAGCCTGAGGATTCTCTTAATCATACATAGTTTTTTAACTAATCATTCATCCAGCATTGACTGGTGTTTTATTTTTGCCTTATTCAACCAGTTTCATAATTTCAAAATTTTAAATACATTTATGTGTAAAAAAACAAAAAAATATAAATTGAGAGAAATTTTTTCCCAAACAAAAAATTAAAATTTCAAAATATTTACTAGATTAAAACAAAATGATAAAATCATTTTTGTTTTTATTCTTATTTTTTGTTATTTTCCAACAAGAATTGACTAACGGAGTAAAAAAAAGAGAAGGTTTGCATTTTGAAATAAATTATTTAAAAATTGAAATTATTAATAACTTGAAGGTAAAGAAACGGATAATCGTCATTTGCGCACGCAAGGAGGGGTCCACAAAAATCGACTAACCGGAGAAACACCCTCTTCAAAAAGAAGCAGCAACAGCAACAACAACACCCCAAATCCGGAGTTAATAGTTGAAGGGTCTCTTTTAATTCGAATATTTTCTGAATTGGATATTGGGCATGTTATATATTCGAATACCGATATAACTGAATATATCAAAGGATTTGGAAATCATATAATTTATTTTACATTTGGCATTTCAAATATTTTTGATAACAACCCATTTGATAAAACATTCAACAGATTAAAAAACGTAAAAAAAATTTTTTTTAATTTTTAGTTTTTAAATAATCTAGAAAAAACTCTCCAATCCGTGTTGACTTCTTAATGATTGAAAATTTGTAGAGGTTAATATATTTGTTAGGGCTATAAAATTCAGAAAAATAAGAATTCTAATATACATTTTAATTTATTTTGAGCACAACTTGGGGAAATATTAAAACACAGAACTGGAGCAGAACCCGACTATTTTTGCTAATATGCATCCTTTCTTTTGATTAATGGATATCTAGAGATTATTCCCGATTGTTTAGACCGAGATTCTTAACTAAAGTCCGGCCTCTAAATAAATTCGCAATTATTTTTAAGGTCATTGAGAACTATAAAAACAAAGTTGAACAAATAAATATATTAGGAAATGAAGAAAAAAGTTCTGACGAAAAGTGTAGGGAAATAATGTCCAGATTAAATGAATTGACTAACAAAGTTCATCCAAATTATGTCAAACATTTAATCTATTATTTAACTGGATTTTCTATGGAAACTGGAGTTCTAGATGATATGTTATATATTAGCGAAAAATTGACTGAACAAGAGTAAGATTTTTAAGAGAAAATATTTTTTAACATATCTTCATTATAATAATATTAAATTGAAATGCTCAATATTGATGAGCATTCTACTCAATATTGATGGAAATGTTTACATAAATTTTTATGGAATTTTTCTAATCCTTCTAGTATGAGAAACCAAAGGGGTCTTATAATTTTTTAACACGCAATTTTTTGTTGAAAAAAATCTCCTAAAAATCTCCTAAAAGCCAGTTGGAGATGAGTAACAGCAAAAAAATTTAATTTGCATATTTTGCCCAGCTCTATCTACCGTATTTATTCTATTTTTCGATACCCCCAAGAAAAGGCCATTCAATTAAGGCGCCATTCAAATGGAGGGGCCATTCATTTAGAATAAATACGTTATGTCGGATTTTAATGCTGTTCTTAATTTAATTTAAAATTTAGCTCAACCAAATTAGATGAAATTTACAAAAAATGTTCTAAATTATTATATTTTGAACAGAATGTTTTAGTTTTTAAAATGTTAAATAATTTTACTAGAATGTTAGGCAATTTAATGACTGAAGAATATCAGAAACATTCTGATTATTACAACAATTTATTGTAATTTTATAATTTATTCTTGAATTTTTTTTTAATTTAAATAACAAATTAAGCCCCAAAGTAATTTCTCTCGAAAAATATGTGGAGGCCTTCAAAAAGCTCGAGAAAAATTCAAATTTGACATTCCATCAAAAGTTTGCTTATTTGAATAGTTACCAGGATAATAATTTTATACGTGAGGGGATAAATTATTTTACCTCTTCTTCTGATAAAATACCGGATGTTTTGAATTATTTATTTTTGGTATATTTCGATGACGGTAATTATTTTGATAGTTATTTTTTAAAGAAAAACTTTAGTTTCTGACAAGCTTTGATATCAAAACCTATAGAAATTCGAAAATATTTAAGATTTTATATGAAAAATCTTAAATTTTTTGTGATAGTGCTACTCTGAATAAAAAAGTAGTATTAGAGTTTATTCATACTATAAACCAATTTTTTCAATATTATTATTCATATTTACTATGATCAAGATGCTTTTACTTCGTAAGGTGGACAAACTTCTCATCTTGGATTAAGTAATCTTAGAATCAACAAGTAACAGATGAGTGTAGTAGAAATTTTTGGATATTTTAAATTTTATTTTTGATTTGGTTTTCAAGGGTTTTTTTAAATTTGGTTTTTGACAAAAATTTTGGGGTGCTTAAACTTTTGTGACAGAATGTTTTAGATTTATGGATACATTCCTCTGATGGGGTCACACTTAAAAAGGTTTAAAAATGGCATAAATATGAGGTGAATGACACCAAAAGCAGTCCCACAACTATGGGTTTTAAAAATTACGAATTTTTTTCAGTACTAAATCTTGGGGTCCTACCTTCCAACCTTTATCCTTCATTATATTTAAATTTTTTCCCAACTATAAAATCCGGATTTAGGTATAAAAATTCGATTTAACTTGTTATCTATCATTTTAATTCCTTATTTAGTTAAAATTAGAGATCGGACCGTACCGTAATACGGCCGTATTTTTAGGTCCTCTTGAACTTTGATAATTTTTAAAATCTTTTCTTTATTTAAACCAAGAATGTGCACAATTTTTTTGTTTACAATTCTCAAAACTTGATGAGTATTTAAAAAAAATTATTTTTTTGAGCGCCAAATATTTTTTATTTTCATCAAATACTTTTCTGATTTTTAGTGGTTTGGAAATGACGGGGAAACATTTTGGAACTCCCATAGGCTATCGGGCATAAAATAAGGGCCGGGCATTTAAAGAGAAATAATGCCTAAAAGTTTATCTAAAAATTAGTTTTGAGTTTTGTAAAATTTTTTTGTTGTGCACATTCTTTATATTTAAATTATATCAAAATTTGTTTTTTCTCAAAAGAAAAGCAACTAAGATTATGTATTTTTGAATAAGTATTAAATTTAGAGTTAAAATTAAAATTAGAGTTATTTTTGTTGAAATCTGGCTTTTTGGCCTTCCAAAATTCTGAAAATTTTCGCCTGCGGTGCAAAAAACGGATGTAATAGGTTGATTTATAGCTTCAAATCCTTCTAAAAAACAAAAACAACGACGCTTTAAATTTAAAACTTTGTAGATATCCTGGACTCCTCAAAATCATAAACTTTGTTGCTTTCCTACTTTTCACAAACAATTATTATTTTACCAAATTATCCTTTCTTACACTGATTTTTATATTAATTTATTTCAAATTTTCAAACATTTTTTCGTATAAATCTGGGTAAAAATGTAATTTTAATTTAATAGAATTTTATACAAATTAACTTGAAATTAATTAATTATCTTGTCCCCCCCCCCTCTTTTTATTTAGTGAGATAATACATATTATCAAAAGATCCCCTTTAAAATCCCCCTTTAAACAATTTACCCTTAAACACATCATTCTTATGTAACATGACCGGAGTCTTATTTGTTAGGCGAACCTAACTTATTGAACATTCTCGCACTTCATCCACCAACATTACACATAAAACAATTTACCAAACATTAGAATCGAAACATGTTATCAATTGTGGATGAACACAATAAAAAAGAAATGAAGTTTCAATATACATAGTATGTAATTCTTGAGTGGAATTTTTGTAGATTTTTTCTACCATCCAAAACAGAATTATTCTAGGTGGTTATATCATTTCCGGACGGTTGAAAAACAATCACTTTTTAATAAATTTAATTTATCTAGGGATGGATAGGATAATCAATATAGAAAAGAAAAGAAGCTAAAATATTGAATTCAAGGAAAGATATCTCAAAAAATACAAGTGGTTATTTCATTTCCGTAACACTGTAATATTAAAATGAATGGCAATAAAAATGTTCATTTTTAATTAAAATTAAAAATGTTATCCGAATGAAAATCACGCGTCCAAATTCTTCAACAACTGGAAAAATCTTAGTTAATTAAACGGCCCATTCTAAACAAACTTTTTAATTTTATTTAACTATTAATAAACCAGTTTTATTTAAATTCTCTATTAATAAACCTTAATTAAAAAAGAAGAGAATTCTCAAATTTTATTAGCGAACTGATTAAATAAATATTTAAATTGAAATTTTTGACAATTGCCAGTTGCCCTTGTAGCTCAGTGGTTAGAGCGTCTGTCTTGTAAACAGAAGGTCGATGGTTCGAATCCATTCTGGGGCAATTCTTTTTTTATCAAATTTTAGAATTTATTTATGCGAACAAACAAAGTTAAAAATATATTTACAAATTTAAATTAAAATAAAAAATGAATGAATTAATTTATTCAGAAATAGAGCAGGCAACGCCAGCTAAATTAGACTTTTTAACGTTTCCAATCTGCTGCGGCAACTCTTAATTTAATTACTAATTTTTAAATTTCGGCTAAATTTTCATGTTGTTGTTTTCTTGTTCGCAAAAAAATTTTTTTTAATTATTTAAATCCTCTTTATTTAAATTTCATCATTTCATCTCCAGGCAAAATAGCTTCATAAAGCTTTTGTAGCAATTCAGAATTTTCAAATAAATCGTGCATTTCGATGGGTTTTAAGCGTTTTAACTGCGAATAGTTTTCGGAAAAATTATCTTTGAAATTATTGAAAATTTTCAGAATTTTTTTGATACTTGCCAAAACTGAAAATTAAAATGATTATTTTGTTAATTTGATTAATTAATACTTGTCAAATTCGGGCTAATCTTCAATAAAAGGTGGGTTGGAATAGAAGGGTCTGTCCTAACTTGGAAGACCAATTGCATAATATACTATAAATATTTTGCTAATTTATTTTTTTTCTGAAGATAGTTGACCAAATATTTTTGACTTGGATTTTTAGGACCAAGCTTAATGAAATTTAATTCTAAAGGGAATTGTCCTCTGGAATCTCAATTATTATTACAAGCTAATGTATTATTCATTAAACAGTCTTAGACATACCAAGATCAGCTGTTTCAATGCGAGAATCAATTCTATTAAGAATTAATTCGTTGTCATTTTCAAAAAACAAATGTGTATTCTTAGCAAGAAAATTGTCGGCTTTATGAATAATTTTGGAAAATTTTTCTATCGCTTCATCTGAAGATACTTTTGAATCCTCCTGGAAATATTTAAAAATAAAACTTAAATAAGAACACATACTTTTATTTTAAGCAAATCCCATAATGGATATTTAATATTTTTTTCACTAAAATATTCAAGTAATTTTATTGGATCGTCTTTGTTTCCCTCCTCCTCAAGTTTCTTCAAAACCATCTCCACTTCAAAAATCAGAGGAGTTACTGAATAGATTTGGTAACACTCATGAAGGGCCACAAACAATTCAGCTGCGCTTTTTAAATTTTCCTCAGAACCTCTCTCGTCTTCATCAAAAGACATTAAAAGATAAGAGATATCTATCAAATTTTTAGTATCATCTTGTGGAGCATTAAAAACATCGTTACGATTTACCAGTCCACTTTGAATTTTGAACTCGTCTGTATTCTGAACAGGAATAGATTTATTTTGATTTAATATCATTAATATGTAGGGTCGGTAAAAATAAAAATATTTTTGTAGTCTTAAGGATTGGCAACATTCATTTTATGGGGTTCGTTCAGATTTAAGTCACAAATCTGTGTGATTTTAATTATAAGCGTTAATTCAACAGCTGGTTTTCATAACATTCTGTTGCTACAGAACAAAATAGAACGTTGTTAAATTTTGTGGCAACTTGGCCATCCTTTGTGGCCAAAATTCCGCAAGTAAACAAATTTCATGAACCCAAACCCAATCCAATAACCCAATCCAATAATCCAATCCAGTTTTATACATTTAAATTGTTCAAACGTACTTTAATATATTCTTTTATCTTTTTAGCAAGATTCCCAGCTTTTGAATGAAACATTGGATCAGTTTCTTTTTCAATAATGTTTGCCTTATTGTTAGTAACTTTTTTATTCTCTTCGTTACTTCCAACTTTGTAGTTTTTATCATAAGGAATACTGTTTAAATAATGCTCCAATTTTTCTCTTTTCTGATAATTTTCCTTATCATTTTTATTCTGTTTTGGATACTCTTGCAAAGCTTCCATGGTTTTAAAAGCTTTCCCATTTCCAGAATCTTTTCCACTTTCATCATTCTTTTCTGTGTTATATGGAACACTATGTATATAATGTTCAACAGCAGCTCCATTGCCCTTTTTAGCCTTATTCATTTTATGAATGAGATCATTCTCTTTACCATTAATGAGCTTTTCTGGATTTATATTCAAAGCTTCTGAGATTTTATTTGATGTTCCATTCACGGCTTTGAGATTCTTTCGATGGTTATGGCATGCTACCGGGAATGAAACATTTCCCGGCATTAAATGTTTGGTGCCTTTACCACCTCCGCTCATTTTCAATTTATTTTCAATTGTTGATGATCGACCAGAACAACCTGAATTTTTAAAAATAAATTGTTAATCTCAATTTGTTTCATTTATACTTGTATTTTACCAGGGCTTTTTCCAACACGAAACATGACAGGACTTTTTCGTGTTCAAATTTATGCACTACTACGGATTATTTAGTTACTACTTTTACAACAAAAGGTTCAAAAACTATGTTAAATAATTACTTGGATGCATTGAAAGCATTGTTGCTACTTGACGGTTGTAGAGAAAAACAATCGCTTCAAGAACGACCACAGTTAAAGTGAATGAAGAAGGAGACATTATATTGTCTTTAATTAGGGGTTTAATAATGGAATTTTTTAAATTTAATTTTTGAATAAAACAAGAATTCTCTTCCCCCTTTTAAAGTCAAGAATTTAATTAAAGTGCATGTTGACAGACATGACGAAAAAATTTCATAAACAAACAACCTTATGAAGGCGCCTTATGAAATTTAGAAAATCATCTAATGAAATGCACTTTGTCAGTCAAAAATAATAGTTAAAATTATTTCTTAATTTCCTTTAATTATTTTAAAATTCATTTTTAAATTTCTCAGAATTAAAAATAAATTTTGCTTTTAAGTTTCAAGTTATGAATGGATTACATAATATATTGAAAATTTCTAAGCAGTAATTAGTACCATAATGTATTAATTATCCTGAAAAACAAATGGACGGTGTAATTTTATGCTCTGACAAATGAGTGTCGAAATACAAAAAAATATTTTGTCGAGTTTAAATTATTATCGGTTCATACATATGCTACTTCTATTTCCTAAAGCTGTGCAGTAGAAGGCGTGGTGTAATGAATTATCAGTCCGTCTACTGAAGATGCTGGTTCGCACCCAGCCGCCGATTAACCTTTTGCACTAGCTAAAGGAGAGAACTAGCTATAGCCCAGCTGCTTTAATATCATATTAAGCCCCATTTTCTTAACGAGAAGGTACTGTTTATTAAAATAAGAAGTCGGTTTGTTCCAATTTTTCAATCTAAAAGTGCCGATAATTAACCAAATAGCTAACCATTCATTTATTTGTAACAATTGTTTATTATTCAGAAAATATTATTTATTAATTATGTCCAATAATCACATTCCGGATAACATTCACCAACATCAGGTTCAGTTAAATGTGCCAAAACCCTTCCTTCTTTCGGGAATGCAACACCTCCTGATTTTTCTGCTTGTGCTAGTTGACTTCTGACTTCTTCAACAGAAATTCTCTAAAAATAAGAGAAGTGTCAGGCTATAGAAACCAAAATATGTCTTTAAAGACTTATAGTCCTCTTCTAACAAAAATTTAAAAAATTCTATTGCCTTTTCAGTTCTCCAATTCCACCCAGCATATCCACCAATACATTCATCGGGAACGGGTACTTTTTTAAAAGGTGATTCCCAACTGGATGAAATATTTTGTGCTTTCCAGCCTAAAAATTATTTCTGAGAAAATTATCCAAAATGGCTAACCATGCAACATAAAATCACGTGCTGACCAAGAATCTGTAGTTAAAAACCAGTCTCGTATCCAAGCATGCCCTCGTCTTAGAATTCGCAATTTACCAGGCCATATACGTGTAGCCCCTTCAAGGAAATATAATTTTATACACTAAATAACATTTTTTAGACCTAAAGCTGTTTTAACACAAGTAACATAGCCCATATAACGCTCATAGTTATTAGCTAAATTCCAAAGCTTTTTACAAGCCTAAATATATTTAAAAATATTTTCTAATAAAAATTACCTTAATTTCAGCTTTAGCACCTGGAATAACTGTTTGCAATATATGTAATTGCAAAGCACCATTATCGGCCCCAGAAAAATTTTTCGATTGAGTGTATTGCATATTTGCCCAGTTCATTATAAAGGCACGAGAGAACTCGCTATTCCTAGCCTTTAAAATACATTTAAGTTGCTCATTATAATGTTTATGCAGTGAACTCTCGTTATAATAAACACCGAGATAGATTAGAACCTTTTTGGTTTATTATACTATAAGAACCCTTACAGACGGAAAGTAGAAATTAAAGAGCAAAATAGCTGGTATAAGTATATCATCAGATACAGACGCTCTACTACTGAGCTACCGAAGTCCCTAGAATAAGATCAAAGATGATACTTCTTTTCTTATTTTAATGCATTAATTATTAAATTTTATCAAAATTTAACTAATTATTTACCAAATAATTCCCCGAAGCAACTTCCCAATTAAAAAACCGTTCATAAAAAATTAAATCAACTCTATCATCAATCCATTCCTCAATACAATGGTTTGGGTTTACAACACCTGCATCTGCATCCAATACTAAAGTCCAATCAGAATCAGCTAAATACACAGCTACAGCACAATGTTTTTTAAAGAAAAGCTGAAATGAGTTAAATATAATTGGTATATCCCTTCGAGAAGGTGAGTGCGCTGATATTAACAATGCTAATTGCAAAAAGCGAAATTTCTAGAATTAAAATCAGGGAGCAATTATATTTGCTTTCTGTGCCTTTAGTTTAAAAATATTCTGGGTAGCATTTTTTGGGATTGTCTTCTTAGTTTTGATAACAAATCGTTAAACGTTGAAGTGAAATTCTAATCACTATGTTTAAAATTGGATAGCTAGCTGCAGATAGAACTATTATTATAATCTTATTACAACCTCTTATTATCACCTCTTATTAGCATAAAACTCCTACCTGATCATGTTTGCAATATTTATTTGTACGTTCATCATGATCTAAATCAACAAGCTTAAATGTATAATTAGTGGCTCGCAAATAGCATTCTAGTGAGCGCTGAGCAACAGCATAGTGACTTAAAATTATAGGGGTTTTTGTTGATAATAAACATTTGTAAGATGGAAAATTTAAATAAATTTGCCTATAAAATTGAAATTTGACTTTTTTTAAATTTTAATTGTCAATCCTAATTATTTTATTTTAAAAGCACCGATTTTTACGTCTTGTAAGAACTCTCGACAACAATCACGAGAACAGTCACTTTTCCAAATATTGGAGAACATATACCCATATTAATCCTTGAATTAGCTCGGATATGTTTAGCTGTTGTTTGCATGGAGATTTGATTATTGACTTTAAAATATTTATTAGCTATTTACTAGTGTTTCACCGGAACCGAAATTTTGACCGGAACCGGAACCGGATCCAATTTGAGTTCCGGTTTCCGGAACCGGAACCGGAACTTTTCAAAGTTCCGGCCCGGAACCGGAACCGGAACCGGAACTTTTAAAAAAAATTTTGCTAGCAAATTTTAAAAAATTTGTAGTTTAAGTGGAGTTGACTGTTCGTGTGGTGTATGAACGGATTTGGTGGTATAAGTGTTTGATATCGGACGATATAAGGATTCAGAATTGTAAGGGGGTTTAAGGGATATCAGTGGAAGAAGGAGCGATATACGTTTTATGGGGATAAGGAAGTAAAGAAGGATATTAGGCCCATTGATGTAACACTATATAATTCAAAATCCACATTGATCCATCCAAATCATCCGTTATACCATTCAACTATCTTTTTCAGCGCCGCATGCGAAAATTTTGAGAATATTTGAGGACAAGAAGCTAAATTTTTTCCTTTTTCACGCCGCAGGCGAAAATTGTGAAAATTTCTTAAGGCTGTAAGCAGCAAAATTCATCATTTATTAGTCATACGAAAAATTTTAAGAATTTTAGAGGGCCAAAAAACCGTAATTACTCCATGTAAAAATATAATGATTTTTAAAACAAAATTAAACTCAATAAATGAGTTATTTGTTGAAAGAAAAATTTTAAGAGTTATTGTCCTACGACCGGGAAGCGAACCCAAATTAAAATCACTAACGCCTTGAGTGAAGCCTAAACCCTCCACCACTCGGACACCCGCTCATCAGAATGTTATTGAAAGAAAATAAACATATTTCTTTCGATTTTTTTTATTACAAGTATGAGAGTACGAGTAGTTTATTAATATTTTTAAAAAAAAATCAATCTTTAGGGGTGTAAAAAAGTTCCGGTTTGCCCGGAACCGATTTGAAAACCGGAGCCGGAACCGGATCCAATATGGGTTCCGGTTCCCGGAACCGGAACCGGAACCAAAAAAACACCGGAACTTTCCGGAACCGGAACCGGAACCGGAACTTCCGGTGAAACTCTACTATTTACCTAGTATACAATCGAGATATCTTTGTTTATTTACTAAACTCTCTGAGAAATCACGGGATGGTTATCATTAGCCTCGCTCGAGCCAGAAACTCGAAAGATCGAGCGAGCCAAGACTTTTCAGCTCGAAAACAAACCGAATGGAAAAAAATCAAGCTCGAAAAAAATGCACCGAACGTAAGCTCAATTGAAAACGGCATCCCTAGTTATTATCGATATCAAGATTTTCGATTTTTCAAGATAAAAATCAAGAATTAAGTTAAACTATCTAATTATTAACATACAATTAACATTTCCTATTTCTTCAGGCAACTTGCTGGCACGAGGAAGATGAAAATTATTCTTTCCAATTTTTACTATTTTTCTTTGTAAATTATAACTATAATAATTGTTGTGATAATAGAAAATAAAAATTAAAAATATTAGTATTAATGAAATAAAAAGTATAAATTTAAATTTTTTAAAAATTGAAGCAAGCATCTGTTTAGTACAAATTAGAAAATGAAATTTTTATTGGTTCAAGTCTAGTCTATTAATCAAATCAACAGAGTAGTGTAACATTTAAAAAAGTAATTGTGAATGATCTCGACAATAAGGAGGATTAGGAGCATTTTGAGGGGACATCAGGTGAATACTTCCTGGTTAAAAAATAAAACCACTGTGGCTGATACATAAATACGATAAGTTAATAATTAAATATTTACTGCCCAAATGACTCATAATTATTTTTTCGTTGATACTTTAATTGTTTTTATGTGGAAAATATTTATTTAGAAAACGTTTACTGCTTAAATCACTTACTGCCGAATTCACCTCACTGCCTAAATCATTTACTGCCCATTTCACCACAGCCTACGTCACTTCTGCCGAAATCACTAGACACGAAATAAATATTTTATTTATTAAAAATAATTTTACAAAAATATACAAGAAATAAAATTATTTCGCGTTATAAATAAACAGAACTAGATATTAAAAAAATAATTTTGTTCAAAAAAGTAAAAAGGGTGGTCCTGCTCTATTATTTATTGTTTTTAACGTTTTGATTCGCAGCATCTTTCTTCGTAAAATAATTTACAAAAAAGATGACCCAAATTGACTGAAACAAAATTTGAACGAAGAAATAAAAACGATGATAGGAG